TTTTTATTAAACATATATATATATATATATATATATATATATATATATATATATAATTATACTTAATACTGATGTTATTATGTTATTTAGTGTTTTACTTTTTCATAAAAGTATAGCAAGAACACAAACCAAGTTTGGGGTCAGTAATATGTTTTTTCTTTTAAATAAGAAGTATGAAATGAATACTTTTATTAAGCAAGGATGCAATAAATATATCAACAGTGTCAGTAAAGACATTTATAATTGTCCGAACAGATTTACCGCAAAAATATTAAGCAGCACAACTGTTTTCAACATTGATAATAATAGTTGTGCATGTTTCTCGAGCAGCAAATCAGCATATTAGAATGATTTCTGAAGGATCATGTGACACTGAAGACTGGCGTAATGATGCTGAAAATTCAGCTTTGTATCAGAGGAATAAATTACATCTTAAAATAAATTAAAATTCAAAACTGTGTTATTATGTTAATAATATTTTGCAATATTACTGTATTTTTTATCAAATAAACGCTGCTTTCGTGAGCATAAGAGACAAAAATATTACAAAATCTTACCAACTCCAAATATTTGAACATTAGTGTGTAAGTTGAAAATGAACACAGCAATACTCATATAAATCTAAAAACATACATATATATAAAACAAGCCATCATACGATTTACAGAGATACAGTATTAGATGTTTTCTAGCAACTTGTCCTGTATCACTGCAGCTGTATTGAATATATTTGAGTGATCAGCTGTGTTCTGCTTTCTTTGTCTCTTGTTCAACAGGTTTTACACCATGTCTATAATGATGGCGGTGGATTTGTTGGGTTGTACGGGCAGCACAGAGGAGAGAGCCGCCCTCCTGTATAAAACCATCCAGCTGGCTGCTGAACTCAAGAGCAACATGGGCAACATGTACGGATTCGCTGCGGTCATGAGAGCGCTGGAGCTGCCGCAGGTGAGAACGCACACCTGTCCTCTCAGACCACAGCATATGAGCTGTCATTCATGGTTTAAGTACCAAAGTTTAATAGCAAGTTTAAAACAATAGTCATGCGTAGTAATAATTTGTATATCAGAATAGTATTATTTAGATGTATTATTTAACTCGTGCTGATCGTTCTAAGGTTGCAATTATTTTCCAGTAAACGCACAGCTATGTAGTAGCTCCGGATATATTACAGTTGTATATTTCTGTATATTCTGTGATGTTTGGTGTAGATCTCACGGCTGGAGCAGACATGGATAACACTGCGACAGAGACACACAGAAGGCGCCATCCTCTATGAGAAGAAACTCAAGCCATTCCTGAAGGCCATTACTGATGGGAAAGGTAGAACAGGGTGTCTTAAACAATGTTCTTTAATGACGAAATGCTGTTAATATTCTTCACTACAGAACGTTTATTATTAGTGACAGTAGAAAATCCTAAGCAATTGGTAAAGAATCACATGGACAATATTCTTGATAGTGGTCGACCGATATATATCTCCAAAGGCATTTTTAAATTATCGGTATTCGCCGATTAATTTTTCTCTTTGGCCGATAAGTGTCAGAGGTAGCTTTTATTTTGAAAGCAGTGGGACTTTTATTTTGATAGAGATAAGAACCCAACCAACGCCTGTGCGCACACATGAGTGTTATCTTTCAGTTCTTGATTTCAAACTATGCTGCGTTATATCCAGTTTGCCATTATGTCATATTCATGTCGTATGTTATTGTGTTCTGTATGTAAAATTAGTGTTAACTGGTCTTTATTTGAGAAAATAGGATTTGCAGTGCGCACAAACTACTACTATAGGATTACAGAATCAAAAGGTTGTTAAAGCATAAATTTGTTAATTTTTACAGTTTTTAGTTATATTTTTAAATAGAATTAATTTAATTCCAGCAATCCTGCATATTATTTTAATTAAACTGTGTAATATAATATACTGTATATTTTTATGTATGATATTTGCTTTACCCTGCTCTCTAAGATATTGATACTGACATAAACCATCAAAACAAAAAAAAACAAAAAAATATCAACCACTAATTCTTAAAATTTATGGAATTAATATTCATTACAATTCATGTTGATGTAATTTACAAGATTTATTGTTTTATTTATTAACTTTCCTGCATTTGAATTCACGTTCATGTAAATTATTTATTTGAAATACCATCTGATAATGTTTTTTTTTTTATAAATATAATTGATAATAAAAGTAACATAATGAATGTAATAAAAGATCAGAGAATATTTTGATTTTACTCATTTATTATTTAATTTAGTTTTTTATATCTTCATTTTTACTTATCAATCTTTTATTTAATTTGGCACTGGCAATTATATAATTATATAAATCACAAATGTGACCCTGGACCACAAAACTACTCTTAAGTCGCTGGGGTATATTTGCAGCAATAGCCAAAATACATTGTATGGGTCAAAATAAAAATGCTCTTTTATGCCAAAAATCATTAGGATATTACGTAAAGATCATGTTCCATGAAGATATTTTGTAAATTTCCTACCGTAAATATATCAAAACTTCATTTTTGATTAGTAATATGCATTGCTAAGAACTTCATTTGGACAACTTTAAAGGCGATTTTCTCAATATTTCGATTTTTTTGCACCCTCAGATTCCAGATTTTCAAATAGTTGTCTCTCGGACAAATATTGTCCTATCCTAACAAACCATACATCATTTGGAAATCTTATTTATTCAGCTTTCAGATGATGTATAAATCTCAATTTCGAAAAAATTGACACTTAAGACTGGTTTTGTGGTCCAGGGTCACAAATCCCCCAGTAGTTCCAACTGTTTTTTAATATTTATTTATTTATAATTATTTCTTAATCTTTCAGAGAGCTGTGTCCTCTCGAACACCTCTTTCCCTCACGTGGTGCCGGTGTTGTCGCTGCTGGAGCGCGGTGTGGCGGCAGGCGAGGCGCTGGAGTCCTGGGAGAGTGTGGAGTCGGGAGTGGATGTGGTCATGAGTCACCTAGAAGCAGCCCGAACCATCGCTCACCATGGAGGACTGTATCGCACCAACACTGAGAGCAAGCTTCAGGGTAAACTATTAACCTGTGTTACAATTAAAATATAAAATCCAAGCATTTAATATTAGACACGATTATTAAACTTAACTTAATAAATAATAATTTACTAAAGTTAGCCTAAAAAGCATGCATGGATGTACACTTTGAAGATATATACAATATAACATTCAGGCATATACTTTAATTTGGACTGCAGTGCACTAGTCCTATTTTCTAGTCCACATACTTTATGTGGTGTTCACAATCTCCACACAGATTTCCAGGAGCGGAAGGAGGTGCTGGAAATCTTCTGTACAGAGTTTCAGATGAGGCTTTTATGGGGCAGCCGTGGCTCTGAAGGAAGCCAGGCCGAGCGCTATGAGAAGTTTGACAAAGTCCTCACTGCTCTGTCCCACAAGCTAGAACCTCCTGTACGACACAGTGAATTATAGCACCCCCGCACCCACAAATTGTATGATCCCTGACCTTCCTGTCACTCCTACTCCTGGTCCATGCTTTTAGGGGGGAGCCGGAGAATATGACAATGAGGGACTCGCTCTGCAAAACAAGGCACAAAAGGGGACAGGCTTTATGCGAGCATGATAGCGCCTCCTAAAGAACACAGTCGTGAACTGCAGCAATGGAATGAAATAAAAATCTAAAGCCAAAATCTCTTCTTCAGTGGTGATCAAGGGCACTTCCTTTTCAAAAAGAGAGAATGTGATGAAGTGCACATTGACTTTAACCCAAATGGGTCTGAATCCTGTTTTATGTGAATCCATGATTTAGTTTCCATCAGCTTTTATGTCGATAAAAAAGCAAAGATGTCTTGCAGAAGTGACGTGTCTCTGTACCCTAGATGAGACTGCATTGACTTAACATAGTCACGATTTATTGCTGGAATAGATTGAACACACACTCACTTTTCAAATGTCTGAATGTAAGTTGCCAAATCATGAATTCAAACAGATGTCTACTGGATAAAGAGTCTTATTTTTATGCTCAATTTTTGGGTTCACTTCTGTGTTTTTTCGCTGTTGTCATGGCTTTATCGATAGAAATGGAGTCGACAGTTACTGTGAGGAATTGGGCCTTCATTTTTAATGAGTGTCTTAACAGATGCTCACATTCACACTCTCTCCAGGTCTGACAGCATTGCTTCTCAGAGCGCTTTGGTGTCTGTATGTGTTAGAGAAGAAGTGTAAGATAGAAGACATACTGTTTTCTTTCCTCTCTTTCTGTCATGCTGAGTTTTTTTTTTGTCTAAAGGGGTCATATCATGAGGAATGAAATTTTCCCTATTTGTAAATACAGAGTTCATTATAACTATCAGAATTTAAAAATCCAGTGCTAAAAATATGCATTTATTGAAACTAAATAGCAAAATGAGATTTTGGCATCTGAAACTCAAGGTCATTAGCATATGGCCACCCACTTTACACATCAACATCACATATTAGGTGTGCATTCATTCTGCTAAACACCAGAAGAGCTCATGATAAGAGTAAAATTGTGAAACTAGTAAAAACCCACCACATATTGTGCTGTTTTTTGCTGTGTGTAGCACCTACAGCTCTGCAGATCCTTCTAAAGGATCCCAGTGTTGAAAACAAGTTCATTTTCAGCACAAATTGTTTTATGAATCAGTTACATTATATTAGCAACCCCACAGCTCATGTGTTTCTCATTTCATATACGAAGAAGGTCATTTGCATAAAGTCTTAAAGGCGCAGCAGCACAAAAACAGCCTGTTTAATTCCAACATCAGAAAGAGGGTGGAAATGGACATAAAAAAATTTAAAAAATTTAAATAGCAAAAAATCATGATATGACCGCTTTAATATCTTTCATGACAGATACGCTGTCTTTTAGATACATAATGTATATTCTCAATGAGACTGGATCACAATGAATGTCACACTCTAAAAAATGCTGGGTTAAATACAACCCAGTGCTGGGTCAAATATGGACAAACCCAGCAATTGGGCTGTTTTAACCCAGCGGTTGGGTTAAATGTTTAACCCAACCTTTTGGTTAGTAACCCAAACGCTGGGTCAAAATAACCCAATTGCTGGGTTTGTCCATATTTTACCCAGCACTGGGTTGTATTTAACCCAGCATTTTTTAGAGTGTGACATTCATTGTGATCCAGTCTCATTGAGAATATACATTATGTATCTAAAAGACAGCGTATCTGTCATGAAAGATATTAAAGCGGTCATATCATGATTTTTTGCTATTTAAATTTTTTAAATTTTTTTATGTCCATTTCCACCCTCTTTCTGATGTTGGAATTAAACAGGCTGTTTTTGTGCTGCTGCGCCTTTAAGACTTTATGCAAATGACCTTCTTCGTATATGAAATGAGAAACACATGAGCTGTGGGGTTGCTAATATAATGTAACTGATTCATAAAACAATTTGTGCTGAAAATGAACTTGTTTTCAACACTGGGATCCTTTAGAAGGATCTGCAGAGCTGTAGGTGCTACACACAGCAAAAAACAGCACAATATGTGGTGGGTTTTTACTAGTTTCACAATTTTACTCTTATCATGAGCTCTTCTGGTGTTTAGCAGAATGAATGCACACCTAATATGTGATGTTGATGTGTAAAGTGGGTGGCCATATGCTAATGACCTTGAGTTTCAGATGCCAAAATCTCATTTTGCTATTTAGTTTCAATAAATGCATATTTTTAGCACTGGATTTTTAAATTCTGATAGTTATAATGAACTCTGTATTTACAAATAGGGAAAATTTCATTCATCATGATATGACCCCTTTAGACAAAAAAAAAACTCAGCATGACAGAAAGAGAGGAAAGAAAACAGTATGTCTTCTATCTTACACTTCTTCTCTAACACATACAGACACCAAAGCGCTCTGAGAAGCAATGCTGTCAGACCTGGAGAGAGTGTGAATGTGAGCATCTGTTAAGACACTCATTAAAAATGAAGGCCCAATTCCTCACAGTAACTGTCGACTCCATTTCTATCGATAAAGCCATGACAACAGCGAAAAAACACAGAAGTGAACCCAAAAATTGAGCATAAAAATAAGACTCTTTATCCAGTAGACATCTGTTTGAATTCATGATTTGGCAACTTACATTCAGACATTTGAAAAGTGAGTGTGTGTTCAATCTATTCCAGCAATAAATCGTGACTATGTTAAGTCAATGCAGTCTCATCTAGGGTACAGAGACACGTCACTTCTGCAAGACATCTTTGCTTTTTTATCGACATAAAAGCTGATGGAAACTAAATCATGGATTCACATAAAACAGGATTCAGACCCATTTGGGTTAAAGTCAATGTGCACTTCATCACATTCTCTCTTTTTGAAAAGGAAGTGCCCTTGATCACCACTGAAGAAGAGATTTTGGCTTTAGATTTTTATTTCATTCCATTGCTGCAATTCACGACTGTGTTCTTTAGGAGGCGCTATCATGCTCGCATAAAGCCTGTCCCCTTTTGTGCCTTGTTTTGCAGAGCGAGTCCCTCATTTGTGCATTCATTCTGCTAAACACCAGAAGAGCTCATGATAAGAGTAAAATTGTGAAACTAGTAAAAACCCACCACATATTGTGCTGTTTTTTGCTGTGTGTAGCACCTACAGCTCTGCAGATCCTTCTAAAGGATCCCAGTGTTGAAAACAAGTTCATTTTCAGCACAAATTGTTTTATGAATCAGTTACATTATATTAGCAACCCCACAGCTCATGTGTTTCTCATTTCATATACGAAGAAGGTCATTTGCATAAAGTCTTAAAGGCGCAGCAGCACAAAAACAGCCTGTTTAATTCCAACATCAGAAAGAGGGTGGAAATGGACATAAAAAAATTTAAAAAATTTAAATAGCAAAAAATCATGATATGACCGCTTTAATATCTTTCATGACAGATACGCTGTCTTTTAGATACATAATGTATATTCTCAATGAGACTGGATCACAATGAATGTCACACTCTAAAAAATGCTGGGTTAAATACAACCCAGTGCTGGGTAAAATATGGACAAACCCAGCAATTGGGTTATTTTGACCCAGCGTTTGGGTTACTAACCAAAAGGTTGGGTTAAACATTTAACCCAACCGCTGGGTTAAAACAGCCCAATTGCTGGGTTTGTCCATATTTTACCCAGCACTGGGTTGTATTTAACCCAGCATTTTTTAGAGTGTGACATTCATTGTGATCCAGTCTCATTGAGAATATACATTATGTATCTAAAAGACAGCGTATCTGTCATGAAAGATATTAAAGCGGTCATATCATGATTTTTTGCTATTTAAATTTTTTAAATTTTTTTATGTCCATTTCCACCCTCTTTCTGATGTTGGAATTAAACAGGCTGTTTTTGTGCTGCTGCGCCTTTAAGACTTTATGCAAATGACCTTCTTCGTATATGAAATGAGAAACACATGAGCTGTGGGGTTGCTAATATAATGTAACTGATTCATAAAACAATTTGTGCTGAAAATGAACTTGTTTTCAACACTGGGATCCTTTAGAAGGATCTGCAGAGCTGTAGGTGCTACACACAGCAAAAAACAGCACAATATGTGGTGGGTTTTTACTAGTTTCACAATTTTACTCTTATCATGAGCTCTTCTGGTGTTTAGCAGAATGAATGCACACCTAATATGTGATGTTGATGTGTAAAGTGGGTGGCCATATGCTAATGACCTTGAGTTTCAGATGCCAAAATCTCATTTTGCTATTTAGTTTCAATAAATGCATATTTTTAGCACTGGATTTTTAAATTCTGATAGTTATAATGAACTCTGTATTTACAAATAGGGAAAATTTCATTCATCATGATATGACCCCTTTAGACAAAAAAAAAACTCAGCATGACAGAAAGAGAGGAAAGAAAACAGTATGTCTTCTATCTTACACTTCTTCTCTAACACATACAGACATCAACGCGCTCTGAGAAGCAATGCTGTCAGACCTGGAGAGAGTGTGAATGTGAGCATCTGTTAAGACACTCATTAAAAATGAAGGCCCAATTCCTCACAGTAACTGTCGACTCCATTTCTATCGATAAAGCCATGACAACAGCGAAAAAACACAGAAGTGAACCCAAAAATTGAGCATAAAAATAAGACTCTTTATCCAGTAGACATCTGTTTGAATTCATGATTTGGCAACTTACATTCAGACATTTGAAAAGTGAGTGTGTGTTCAATCTATTCCAGCAATAAATCGTGACTATGTTAAGTCAATGCAGTCTCATCTAGGGTACAGAGACACGTCACTTCTGCAAGACATCTTTGCTTTTTTATCGACATAAAAGCTGATGGAAACTAAATCATGGATTCACATAAAACAGGATTCAGACCCATTTGGGTTAAAGTCAATGTGCACTTCATCACATTCTCTCTTTTTGAAAAGGAAGTGCCCTTGATCACCACTGAAGAAGAGATTTTGGCTTTAGATTTTTATTTCATTCCATTGCTGCAATTCACGACTGTGTTCTTTAGGAGGCGCTATCATGCTCGCATAAAGCCTGTCCCCTTTTGTGCCTTGTTTTGCAGAGCGAGTCCCTCATTGTCATATTCTCCGGCTCCCCCCAAAAAGCATGGACCAGGAGTAGGAGTGACAGGAAGGTCAGGGATCATACAATTTGTGGGTGCGGGGGTGCTATAATTCACTGTGTCGTACAGGAGGTTCTAGCTTGTGGGACAGAGCAGTGAGGACTTTGTCAAACTTCTCATAGCGCTCGGCCTGGCTTCCTTCAGAGCCACGGCTGCCCCATAAAAGCCTCATCTGAAACTCTGTACAGAAGATTTCCAGCACCTCCTTCCGCTCCTGGAAATCTGTGTGGAGATTGTGAACACCACATAAAGTATGTGGACTAGAAAATAGGACTAGTGCACTGCAGTCCAAATTAAAGTATATGCCTGAATGTTATATTGTATATATCTTCAAAGTGTACATCCATGCATGCTTTTTAGGCTAACTTTAGTAAATTATTATTTATTAAGTTAAGTTTAATAATCGTGTCTAATATTAAATGCTTGGATTTTATATTTTAATTGTAACACAGGTTAATAGTTTACCCTGAAGCTTGCTCTCAGTGTTGGTGCGATACAGTCCTCCATGGTGAGCGATGGTTCGGGCTGCTTCTAGGTGACTCATGACCACATCCACTCCCGACTCCACACTCTCCCAGGACTCCAGCGCCTCGCCTGCCGCCACACCGCGCTCCAGCAGCGACAACACCGGCACCACGTGAGGGAAAGAGGTGTTCGAGAGGACACAGCTCTCTGAAAGATTAAGAAATAATTATAAATAAATAAATATTAAAAAACAGTTGGAACTACTGGGGGATTTGTGACCCTGGACCACAAAACCAGTCTTAAGTGTCAATTTTTTCGAAATTGAGATTTATACATCATCTGAAAGCTGAATAAATAAGATTTCCAAATGATGTATGGTTTGTTAGGATAGGACAATATTTGTCCGAGAGACAACTATTTGAAAATCTGGAATCTGAGGGTGCAAAAAAATCGAAATATTGAGAAAATCGCCTTTAAAGTTGTCCAAATGAAGTTCTTAGCAATGCATATTACTAATCAAAAATGAAGTTTTGATATATTTACGGTAGGAAATTTACAAAATATCTTCATGGAACATGATCTTTACGTAATATCCTAATGATTTTTGGCATAAAAGAGCATTTTTATTTTGACCCATACAATGTATTTTGGCTATTGCTGCAAATATACCCCAGCGACTTAAGAGTAGTTTTGTGGTCCAGGGTCACATTTGTGATTTATATAATTATATAATTGCCAGTGCCAAATTAAATAAAAGATTGATAAGTAAAAATGAAGATATAAAAAACTAAATTAAATAATAAATGAGTAAAATCAAAATATTCTCTGATCTTTTATTACATTCATTATG